TTTTTTTTTTTCTTTTTTTTCTTGTAGAGTTTCTTAGTAGCTAATATGGCAAATCAAGCAACTGATGATTACATTACATAGTTGGTAAGTATTATCAATACTTTAAAATATTACGTTTATTTGTAAAAGCTAATATTGAACTTGGTATTTGTATCTACTTTCATGTGTATTTATCTAGTATTATTCTAAATGTTAAAAAAATTAATTATAGTACGGAACCGAACATAACCAAACCGAACTCGAACGGTTCCAAAATTAAATCCAAATATTTTAAGTCCAAAATTTTTGGAACCGAACAAAATCGAACAAACCCGTGTCCACCCCTACTAAGAACGTTTTCATTTGCGATATATCCTCCTACCTATTGAAAATCGTAGATAAATCCCTGTTTGAAATCATTTGTGCGAAAACCCCCTACCGTCAACATCCGTCAAATTTTCCATTAAAAATTGTAAAAAAAATGCCAAAATTAAAAATGGAGAAATTGCAATTTCAGTACCCAAACTTTTATTTTTTTTACAAATTAAATCCAAATATTTTATATGTACCACCCACAATCTAAAATCTTTAAAACTTTATTTTTCACCATACTCCATTCTACTCCACCTCATCTTCTTCCCCCAAAATAATTTTTTTTAATTTTACACATAAAAATAAATTAATTTAGAATAATTAAATCAAAGATCAAAAAATAAAAAAAAAAACTTCTTCTTCTTCTTATTTTCCTTCTCTTCATCCTCCTCCGACCTCAATGCCATAAATGGTCCAACAACACACCCCCAACCACCTGCCCTTGACCACCAACTAAGTACACCTTCAACTCGGTAGCTCCTTGCAGCGCTGGGTCGAGGAGGAAAGCCCAGATTAGGGATATAATTTCATACCTGCCAGGGAGAGACATTATGGCGTCAAGCTCAGCCGACTGTTTCATGGTGACATTGGCCATCGATCCACTTCCACTCTATACACACACACCCCTCATCGATGCCTTATAGCGAATTGGGCTATGCTTTCTACCACATCTGAGCCACCATAGACCTTAATGGCGTGGCGCAGCGTGTTAAGGTTATCTCGAGTGACAAATATTGGTGGTTTTGGCTTGTTCTTAGATCCAGCGGGTCGGCCTCGAGATCTACGGGTACCAACTGTTGGAATATTCCAATATAAAATCCGTCTACTATTTGTTATTAGATCATTCTTCTAAATTCTTCTCTTATTTGTTATGTCGTTAGTTTGTTAGAAATGTACTCTATAAATAGAGCAATATATTCACAATATTACTTGAGCTTGATGATTAATAAAATGTTCATCTTTTCAAGTTCCTTCAATATGTTTTCATATTGAATATACCTTTTAATTTCTCAATACCAACCTCTACAACTCCCTCTTTTGACTCGTCTCCCGTGTCTTTCTCTTCTTCTTCATTGCCTCTGTTGTTGATGGGGTGCATGGGGTGGAAAGAAGAAGAAGAATTTTTTTTTTTCTTCTTTTTTAATCTTTGATTTAATTATTTTAAATTAATTGATTTTTATGTGAAAAATAAAAAAAATATTTTTGGGGATGAAGATGAAGTGGGGTAGAATGGAGTAGGGTGAAAAATAAAGTTTTAAAGATTTGAAATTGTGGATAGCACATATAAAATATTTGAAATTAATTTGTAAAAAAGTAAAAGTTTGGATATTGAAACTGAAAATTTTTTTCCTTTTTAATTTTGACATTTTTTTTTGTTTTTAATGAAACATTTGTCGAATATTGACTATATGGGATTTTTCACACAAAATGTTTCAAATATGGGGATTTTCTGCTATTAATCCATATTTATATAAGAAAAAAGAAAAAGTTAAGATACTACCGCTCAATCCTTAAAATCTAGATGTTCAATCCCGTCTAATTTTGCTTACCTATTATATTGTAAAGTGAAAAAAAGCGAAAAATACAATCTATCCAAAATACTAATTCATTGATTAACATTGCCACTTTTTACGAGTTCATTTTATCTGGATCCAAAAATATCATAAATTCTCACGTTGGAAAATTAACTTCTCAATTTAAAATGGAAGAAAAATTCATTATATTGTGTGATGTACATACATGAGTAATGTTATTCATAATGAAAACTATCGATAGTCGTCCTATGTGACATATACGTTGCAGTTTGTTAATACATTAATATGGTAGTTTTTTTATTCACTCATGCATCAAATAACAAATTGACAAATGTATGTCACGTATGATGATTATCAGTTATCTTCATTATGAATAGGATTATTCTAAATATAAAGTTGTAGGCAGATACTTGTAACACCAACACGTGACACACACACACATAAATATGCTTGTCATCTAAGAAAATTAATTGTGTTGTGCCACGTGTACATATAAAGCTGTAGGTACATACATGTGACGCCAATACATGACACACTTAAAATTGCGCATCATCTAAGAAAATGCAAGTCACGGTATTCTAGTCCAAACAACACCTCAACAGGCTTCAACAAAGGGCTTGACTTTCGGACTTTGCTGTAAATTACTGTAACCACGGACGGATCATACAGTCAGTAGAGCACTTTCTGATGCAGAGGTTCACCATGAAGGTGCAACTACAGAGCATACTCATGTTGTAGGTCATGTAACGCCAACACTAGCTCCGTACTCCATAACATTCCGCAACAAGCTAGCCCCATTATTGGGGGCAGCTATGAGCTCCACTTAAGTCTACGTGTCATGTAATATTTAACCCTGAATTGATAGATACATGTAACGCCAATTCATTAAACTTAAATACAACATATTTGTGTCATTTAAATTTGATTATATCATTTATTATTTAATTGTCATATATTATATAGTTTACTAATCATAGCATAATTATATTTATAAAATCTATAATCCTTATTCTCTCTCTATATAAATGATTTATGGATTTCAACTTTATTGTACATCAACTCGGCTTAAGTATTAATTTCTTTATGTTACTAGTGTTCCCAAAATAGCTTGGGTTTAAAAGCCAAGGAATGTCTTTTTCAACGATCCAACTCTTCGTGCTACTCACAAGTCGAAATTTCAACTTTAAACATGTACCAAACCTAATATTTGTTACCGTAGTTGAGCTCCGGTACATGAATCATCCCAAGAAATACTATGGATGGTTAGTTGGGGGAGGGTAGCGTGCAATTATTGGGCGCCAACAAAAGAGAGTTTTTCGTGAGCTCGTCATCTCATGCAAAACCAATGCGAGAGGAAAAGGAAACATGGGAAAGTGGGAATTGCCAAGAATTCAAAGGTTTGATCTTATGTACCTTGGGAGAACTAAGAAACTACGCATTCAAATCAATAAAAAACGATTTTTAAAATTTCAAGTCTGATCAAACTTATCGTCTAAAATAAACTTATTATTACTTTCATTGTTCATCCTAAGCATCCAAATAGAACCTTATTCTCTTGTTTCCTTAATCAAATGAAGCTCAACTAAGATGCCCCCATGTTTTACATAACGTTTCTTCATCCTGCACACACACTGCACTTACGTTTTAACCAATATATGATTTTGGGCCCAGATTGTTTCCTCAGTTGATTTATGCTGGGCTTAATGGGTTGGATTTGTATGAACTCAGAAATAATGGGCCTTGAGTGACACCTGAGATTTTAGCCCCTCTGTAACTCTGGGCTTTAACCCATATTCTAGTAAGATTATAGCTGCTATGGAGTGTAATTTGCCATTATAGAATTTCATTTCCTTATTTTTTATGTGCAATATTTCGTATGCAGTATGCACATATGTATCTATCGTAATTGATGAAACATATAACAAAAATGCACTCTTCTCTCATAGGCGTAGGTACGTTGTCACTGCTTGTTTTATTAACAGATTGAACTATCTAAGAGTGCATGTTATACATCCATTTTTACTTTTTGAGTAAGATGATGGGTTAGACCCAAATCCCCCATGATTCGTTGTTCAAAACAATATCAATTTCCAAAATCTACCACGTGACTCATTCCTTCGGTCGAGCGTTCTGGCAGGGAGGCTACTCCCCGAAAATGCCTCGCCCATAGGTTCCTTTGTCGTTGGGGCGTACAATTCACCTTGTGGCTCATTCCTTCGGTCGAGCGTTCTTCGAGCATCTATCGATTGGGTTGGTCCAAACAAGAAAGGCATGTGAATCTTTGGGAGTGGAAAAAATCATGTTTGTTGACACTGTCATGCTAGAAAAAGAGTGACTCCTCAAAGTAGAACCGCTGAGATGCTCCGTTGACTCATTAACTGTTAGAATTTCGGTGTGATCCGAATTCTTATTGAGTATTTGATTGAAAATATTGTTTGAGGACAATTGGAAGTTGGTTGTAGAGTTGAAAATGTCTTAAAGGAGTCCAATATGGATTATGATCTAAATTCCATTTTTAGCAGCTTTTGACTCACGTTTCATTTCAAATATTCTGTTATTGTACCTTTTTTAATAGGACTTCACATTGTATTAAACTCTTATTTGTATTAATTCTCTTAGTATGTTAGAATTCTTGTATTATAAATATGTGGTGTATTACACATTTATTTGATCGAAGAGTGATCCAGAGGATATAGAGACGGACTTGCATGATAGAGAGATCAAGTTGAGAGTCTTGTGGAATTCAGATTTGCATAACATGCTTGTAACTCCTTAATATTAATTATAGTAAATTCTCCAACTCTGCTCGTGGTTTTTTTCCCAAATTTAGGTTCTTATATTTAATCTTGTGTTCTTGTGTGATTCTTTTCATCTTTGCATATTTTTTTGCCTTTAATATTCATAACAAGTGGCTTGAATTCTATCATTGGGTTATTGCAAATTGGCTTGTTTTCCAACAAGTGGTATCAGAGCCAAAGATCGAAATTCTTGGGAGAACCAGTTTGGTTTTGTATTAAAGCAAAGTTTGATTCACTCAAAAGAAGGTTTGATATTTTCGAGATGACAAATATAAAGTTTGAAATTCTACTTTTGGATCCCAACAAGATTTTTTGTTATGAAAATATTTTGTTTGGATACTGGAGGAGAAGTAATGTAAAGATCGAGTTATATCTTTTAGAAGGTTCAACGATCACGTTTGATGCAGTTGTCACTAAGTTGAAGATTAGATCTCGGGAGAGATTCGGTAAACCTGATTTGGTTGCTTATGGTTTGATAAGCGTTAACTCAGATGGAGTTGGTTGTGAACGAGTTGCTCGTGATTCGAGCAAATTTGGTATTTAAGAACCTTCCACTAACTCAAGTGGAGTTAGTTTTGATATTGTTGTTCATGATTCAAACAAATTTAGTACCCAAGGTAATTCTGCAAATGATTAGTGTTTGGATTCTTACTTAGATGGAGTTAGTTGGAAACTTGATGATTTTATTGTTCATAGTTATTCGAGCAAGTTTGACATCCAACGTAATTTTGCTGGTAAGTATTGTTTAGATTCAGTTCATAATTGCTAAGTTTTCCCTCGTTGGATTTTGTGGAAGAGGTAAAATAATTTGGAGTATTTTGTTGGAAAATTTCGTTGAAGAATTATGTTTTATTCCTAGCAATAAAATTCGTGTCGAAGTGGAGGTTTGTTAGAATGCGGTTTGACCCGAATTCTTGTTGAGTATTTGTTTGAAAAATACTGTTTGATGACTATTGGGAGTTGGTTGTAGACTTGAAAATGTCTTGAAGGAGTTCAAGATAGATTAGAGCCCTAATTCCTTTCTTGGCAGCTTTTGATTCATATTTCATCTCAAATATTCTATTTTTAGCTTTACCTATTGTAATAGGACTTTACATTATGTTAGACACTTGTTTGTATTAATTCTCTTAGTATGTTATGGATTCTTTATTATAAATATGTGGTGTATTACATATTTATATGATCGACTCAGAGAGTGTGATCTAGGGGAGCTAGAGAGAGACTCTCATGACAGAAAGATCAGGTTTAGTCTTATGGGATCTAGATTTACATAACATACTCGTAACTCCTTATTATTGATTATAGTGAATTCTTTGCCCATGCCCATGATTTTTTCCCAAATTTGGGTTTCCATGTTAAATCTTCTATTCTTATGTGATTCTTTTCATCTTGTCAATTTTCTTGACATCAGGTTATTACAAATTGGCTTGTTTTCTAACATTAACCTTGATAGATAGATGGCTTATTCAATAATTCGTGGTACGATCTGCCATAACAAGATAAGAATGGATCAAGTATTTTTGTGTCTCATCTTAGTATAAGATAGATTGTCCGATTATGACTAAGTTCTCAAGTAAGTTCCATCTCAACATTCCTTATTGTTTACAACTCTTCGTTGTATTGTTCAACAATGGTCAAATGTAAGACTTCACATGGCAACTTCTTCTTAATCTATTGGAGTAAAGTGATCGAGCATGTCAAAAATGATGTCAAATGTAAGACTTCACATGGCAACTTCTTCTTAATCTATTGGAGTTAAGTGATCGAGCATGTCAAAAATGAAAAATCAATAAATGTTTCCTCTCTTTAATAGCTTAGTCCTTTAAATAATGCATTTCAAATGTCATTAAATTGTTAGGATTTTGTTCCTTTGTGTTCACTTGCTGGTTGGGGTTGTGGATTTGAAACGTAAGTTCATTTGCTTCAATTTTATGCATTTGTTGATAGATTAGTTTGTCCAAATGGCATTGTAACATTGAATCATTTTGTATCGGCGAATAGACTAACTCACGGATAACATGTTTGTTAGAAACGAGTTCTATAACATCATCATATTATCTAGTCATATTCAATATTGCTCATCATTTAAAAGTTGCCAAATAAGTTAATTCTCAACTTTTCTTGGTGTTTACAACTCTTGGTTGTATTGTGGAGCAATAGTCAAATGTGAATTCCCATGAATTCACATCCCAACTTCTCGTTGATCTGAATCTTCCCACTGTGAGAAACAAGCACGTAGGATTCTAGATACACTATAATGTTTGAATTTGGGGACATAAACATGGGACAAAACGTTAACTTCATACAAAGTCAAAGAAGCATATAAACATACTTCACAAAAGTTAATGGAATATGACTAATAAGAAAAATGGCTCAATGCAAAAGGACAGCTCGTTCTCTAATTGAAAGACTAGACTTTATTTGTATCTAGAATGGCAATTACAATACACGTTTTCGGGCTCTATGGACTAGAACAAGTACGACACCTTAAACATGGACTCGACTAGGCATTCTCGTACAACCAAGCCCATGTTTCTTAATTTAGTAAAAAACGAGACTCAACTATCTGCAAGAATTAGTGGTCGTTGTTGAGTTCTTTTCTAGCAGAATGGTTCTTTGGCTTTCTTGGTATGCATTTTGCTGTCACTTCCTTCATCTCTTTCTCTTGTAGTTCCAACTGTGAGCTCCTGTACAAAATATTGACGTCGAAATTTCATGGATTATACAAATAATTAATTAAAAAATATCATTAGCTAAGATTAAAAAAAATTCTGTACAATGAAACTACCTATCTGCATTGTAAGATGAAGATCTTTTAAGGGCTGGAAATTCTTCCTTTTTGGTCTCTACTAAGCTCCCACTGAAGTACTCTTTATCCTGTAGTTTCACTCTTCCCATTCCTCCAGTTAACCCGTTAGGTTCCAAGCCACGTGGCAGTCTCATTTTGTACTGAGAAATCAAATTCAATCGATGTGTGGGCCCACAATCCTTAAATGAACTGGAACCGCAAGATATTAATTGCATCAGAACTGATGATGATGATATTCTGGCTTTTTGATTGTTGACCGCTGGGTCTTCGTTGACTGTTTCTGGACGTAGGATCACCCGACCATCGGCTTTCATTAATGTTTCCAGAGTTTCCGGGCTGGAATCGGACGGCGGTGGTGAGATCTCGATCTCTTCTCTGCTTTGATTCTGGCTCGGTTCCTGCCCTTTACTCTTCTCTTCTGCTTCTCTCATGGATCGCCGGCGGCGACGGTTGTCGTCGGTTTGAGTGGAGCCGTCGACGACGGCTCTGACTGAGGACTCTGCTTTGTATGCACTGTACTCGTGCAAGTTGAAATCGATAGAACTGCAGGACTGGTTTCGCAGTCGCCTCTCCATCCTCCGTGAATCTAGGACGCCGACGGTTGGAGGCGGCGGCGGCGCAGTTTCGAGAAATGGATTCTCAAGTAGTTCCGATCCTTTGAGAACGTACTCTTGGCCGTGAGCTGGGTAGATAAAATCATTCTCAGCTAAATCTTGCCACACAAATCCATTCTTGTAGCTCCTGAATGAAAACTTTCAAATCAAAATCATACAATTTATTTTGAAAATATCAAAAAAGAAAAATGTGAGATTTGCAGGGAGAAACAATACCGCTTGCAAGACCAGGAATACATAGCGGCCATGCCTTTTCCTCGGAGAAAGTTCAAACGGTTGATCACATCTGTACAAAGCAAAAATATTGAGATTTTGTCTTCATCACGAAAAGCCCATCGTAATTTTCGTAAAGGGATTACCTTTAAGATAGAGACCTTCAGAAGAAGAAAGAGTAACCTCCATGAAATGGGGGTGCTCGAGTTGCCCATTTCTACAGAGGTAATAAACAACAGAAACTTTTCTTTGAGATTTGATCTTACAATCTGGAGGTTCCGTCCACATTTTATTCGTCTCCGGGCTCATTTCTCTTTGTTCTTTCCATTTCCTCGAAGACGATTCCTGAAGGTCCGCCATTCTACTCAATCTCGACGTAGACACCGCCATTGACTCTTTAACTTCTAAACTCACGTTAGAACTGAATAAATTAGGGTTTAGACTATGAAATGATGAAGTCACATGAAGTCCATATTGTCGGTGAAGAGAATGTTGGGAATCGAGGCAGAAAGGGCGAATATTTCGAGTTTGTTAAGGAGAGGAAATTGAGAGCGATGGAATGGGGAAATGGGGATTCACATGTACATGTTTAAGGTGGAGTGGTGTAGGGATGGGGAAGAGGGAAGTGTGAACAGCAGCTGGAATTCAAACATTGAGGCACCAGACAATAGCTACAATACAAAGTTTATGCTGCTTACATTTTGGCTTCTTATGTTACACTCATGGTTTTACTCCAAGTTGAAATGTGAATTGATTTGAAACGGCCTTCACGGATTGAACAATACATCGAAGAGAAGGGATTCTAAATTTGCGGTCAATAAAATTTGCAATGCATCTTGTGACATGAATCGTTATTTATTTTGTTTAGGACATCTAGTGCTTTGATACCACGTTAATGGACTGCCTACACGCACCTGGAGCAACCTTCCACTCACACTGGCTAACAAGCATAAATAAAGTAAGTTGCACCGCGCACTCAATACTCTAAACAAGAAGCCTGCAACTATATATGCATGAAATAATACGATTAGTGCACTTTTCGATAATTTTAGCTCATAAACAACTATTAGCAATATTGTCGCGCCAAATGGATAGAGGGGTTTGTTATGTGCACGACAAGACTCGTTTGAATAGAGTAACATGTACAATTTATAATTCACAATCTCCCACTTCCGATATTTCTTCACTACTGTATTCTTATGCACCATCTTTTGTCATTTTTATGCCTCTAACAAGGGCAAGTAGATGTTTCAAGTATCAATACAACATTTACTCACTCGTCTCGATAACAAAAAAGAGTTATTAATAAAAAGAAAAAGGCAAGTGGATACTTTCAATGCCTCGTAGACACGCTCGTCCTAAGAAGGATTACGTTTCCATTGAAGAAAAAAGAAGGAAAGTAAATGTTGTAGCATGTAGGCTAATAAATAAATTAAGGGGTATTATAAAAATACGTAAAAAAAATGTAAAATATATTATACCCCTGTTTGATGGAGATTAAAATTAAATTTTTAAAAGAATTTAGAAGAAGTAGATAAAATGTGTAATTGAAAAGTTGTGAAATCTATAAGATATGTGATTAAAATTAATTATTGGTTTTAATTATTGGAAATGTGACTTTTTCTCAAAATGTCAAAATAGTTCTTTAAAATTTGAAATCCGTCAAACTAGTCAACACCTAACTTTTAGTATTTAGTCAGCTATGATTGCGCAATTAAAGATAATACCCATTCCCAAATCGTTGACCTTCAACTTCACATCCGTCCATCTATCAACATCAACTCATCAGACTGGACGTGTGAAAGAACGGTCAGGATTGCAAATAGACGAGAGTGTACAATATAATAAGTAGCTATTTGTACATTTAAATATGTACATACCGTGTGATACTTCCATGTGTCAAAAATCTAGCATTTTCTTCGGCTTGGCTTAACATGATCATACAGCTTATGAACAGTGAAAACCAAAGTGACTCTTTTATATAATACTAGTGTGCGCACGTGCGATGCACGTGCTACAGTTTAATTGTATATTTAATAGCGTTGAGTGATTTTAAATTATTTTTTTTAGTCTAATGTTTGTATAACTGTAAAAATTGATTCTTTTGTTAGTTTATTTTTTTTAATTTTTTTTTTACAATGTATAATGTATGTATGTTATAGTATTAGAAAAATGATTCCTAATGAAGGATTCAAAAGGATCATGAAATTCTTATCAGGCAACTGAAGGCATATAATTAAACATTCTACAAGGCTACAGATTCTGAAAGCATCAAAGCAACAAAACTGTATACAAGCCTAAGTGGAAAGACAAAAGAACTGTCTCTCTCCTAGACAATAGACATCTTCCCAGTGTAAGAAGAAAAATAATTCATATTACATAAGAACTGGAACCTAAGTGGAAAGACAAAAGAACTGTTTGGCTCTAGACTATTAAAATGCAGGGAAATCAGAGTTTTGACACAAGAAGATGAGCTCACGTCATAAACATTTGCAAATTGTTTATGGTTCCTATTTCTTTTCTACCGCATTCAACTCAGAGTACATCTAACTTCCAAAAAAAAAAAATTGCACATCATGTGACAATACATTGTACACACACGAAAAGAAAAATTTCAGACTAAAGAACCTGTCAATGGTGATATTAGCTGCCCTTCTGTCAGCCTCATAAGCTAGGATGTCAGACATTATCTCTGCAGTGGCGCAACCAAGTTTCTATTTTAAAACTTTCAAATTACAGTTGAGTCCCACCGAGGAATTCACACTTCCAAGGCAAAAGAAAAGGAACTTTGAAAATTCGAAAATAAACCCTTTACCTGACAGAATCTATAGAAATCCTCAAGGTATGCTTTATAGAGAGTATTCCTCATAATTTCAATATTCATGTCATCCAAGTCCTGCAAGAATGTCCTTGTGAGGGAAAAGTAGACATACAGACAGAATCTAGCATTAACTGAAAATCGTCAGCATACCAATCATTGTTCCAGCTTGATCTTACTAAATATAATGCAGCAAATGAAACTGAAATGAGACTAAATATAATGTAAAATGCTAAGGCAAAGCTTCAGAAGGAACTTCAAGATTACAACAGAAAATATGTCAGGCCTCCAGGTATAAAGAATGGGTATTACAGATAAGGAATGGAAGATTCATTCTGGAGTAGAATTAATATATAAACATAAACATCAAGACTCTATGATAAAAATTACCTAGAAATATGAATGGCCTGAAATGTCTCCAAGAACGCCAAAACCACATGATATCAATTAGAAGAGGAGATGAAATAGACAGACTGAAAACTTGGACATAATAAACTCCTCTGAGAAATGTTAACATAAAGTGTAATTGGTCTACATTTATATATGTACAAACGAAAAAAGGACAGTAGTATTCGAGTGGTGCAAACATTAGTCACATACCAATTCTAGGATCATTTAAAGCAGGGAGGCTGTAAAACTTTGCAAACTCGCTTCCTCCTGACTTGGGAAGAGTAGTAAAAATTCCCTTGGAAGGATTTTCAGAAGCTGCTTGAATTGGAAATATTCATTAAAACATAAATCACAGTAAAGCAATGAAATATAACCGTGATTGCATAATTATTGATTTGTATCTATTATGCGAATTTAATGTTTTAGATACAAATACTATTGATTTGTAAGGGATGGTAAATATAAATTTCATACTTTATTAAATATATAGATAACTAAAAGCCAACAAGTTGTAAACTTACTTGTTTCATATTTGAAACAATTCTGATGGAAAACATTATGTGTAATCTTGAATTGCTGCACCAGTAATCATGCCTGATGAAGAAAACAAAAAGACCTTAAACGCAGTCAAATGATCAAAATGACGACTTCATAAGCATACCCTCTATGATGAACTAATGAGTCGAGGCGGAGGATTTGCAAGGAGTGATTCTTCATAATTTCAAAGCTATTCAGATACAATTATCAGTTGAAAGCAACAAAAGAACAATTCATGATATCTACAATGATTTGAGCCTAAACCCTTACACTTTGAGACTGCAGTCGATGTTTTCGGATCAAATCCAATGATTAGAGTGAGCATAGGAACAAAAATGCCACCTGAGCAGCAGCAAGGAATCCAATAACAGTACCCACAATAATTCTCCAATCAAACTCCATTTCCTGTGAATAGCATTTCAGAATAATATTTTCTTCCATGGATTAAGCTATATTCCCTTCTTACAAGAGCAATAATAAACAAAGATTAAATCAGAAACACAACAAGCCATTTTAAGTGATTGCTAGAGTTACATCGACTTTGAGGTTCCAAATTTCACTATTTCAACGTGGTCCATGAAAATTTCCTCAAAAAGTAAGTAAAACATGCTCTACATTGATAATTGCAGAGAACTATCCAAATAAATAGGAAATTCAACAACTTTATATTATCTATAATTGGAGGCTTGCCCACGTAGAAATGAATGATAGACAATTCAAACCTCAAATTGACTCGAGAAATATGAGAATGAACTCACAGGCCAAACATGATTAGCAAGCAAAATATAGTTTTGCTTCAAGAAACTGATGATTTTGGTCGAGTAATCTGATTCAAACTCATTTGTGGTTCCATTGTTTCTTAAAAAGCCCACATCAAAACTCTGATCTGCTGCTGAAACTCCACTGCTAATAACAAGCAAAACAGTCAAAAATCACTGCACACTTTCACCTTAATCTAGGTAAAAAAAATAAGGCAAAAAGTAAAGAGTGATTAAATAAAGATAGATTAAAACTAACATACATGTTATGTACAGTAAATTGCAGAAAGTAGTTAACATTGGGAAAACTTGTGATATCCAAGGGTATTGCCACTAATAGTTTACCATTTCTTTTGATCTAGCATAGATCTCTTGGCAATGCTCCTTTTCCAGATCATGACTTCCAGCACTATTGCTGCCACCATCCATAAGAGAAATAACTAAAGAAAATGCAAAGTAGAAAATTCAATACTCCAACATAGAATAGATAATAAAAGAAAATCATCAGCTGCTAAGTAAAAATAACCAACAGTGATTTAACCACTGCCACGAACAGCAATACATCCAATATAAAAACCTTTATTCTTACTAAAAATGGTAGATAAAATCCCAATGTAGATCATGTGGAATGTAAATCCTAATTCATTTAAGTGCATGTCTCTCTTATACGAGGCCGTGTCAATATCACAAAAGCACCAAAAAAACTTCTTACCCATAAATCTAGTACAGAAGTCTAAATCTATTATGAACCCTAACCTAATAAAAATTACTTCTGACAAATGCAGGGTTAAAAGTTAGAGCCACCTGAGGTGAAACTGAAACAATCAAATAATGCACCAATTATCATTGAAATCAACACAAAACTAAATTTTTTGTGAACGAATTTG